AGTGCACAAGAAAAAAAGTTGTTTGTACGGTGGGCTCTTGGTCTATTTGTGCGAATTTTGTAGTTTATTTTTTCAAGGTACGATTCCATTGATGATTTGTTATTTATCGCTCGATGGTGATGAATCGTTCAATTGATTGACCGCGTGTGCCGCATGCACCCGTCAAATCACAGTATGACAACAACAGAAATCGCCATATAAAAATATGACGTAGAATTTGGTGCCATCTCACGACGTGTACCGTTACCATATGAACGTAATATTGTAAACGCAAATTATGTGATTAAATGTTGTGACATGAGGTCATTGTACAATGTTTCGATTTCCTTCTTGTATTTCTCCTGCCGAACATGGAGCCAGAACTTCAACGGTAGGGTGCTGCTCAATGTATACTATTTTGGAAAATTGATAGCAGCACTAGCTTGGATTATGAGAATCAATGAAAAAGACACGTACAAACCTTTTGCAGCGATTTATATCGCACTCACACCAATCAGAAAATCTATGTAGTTAGAGATGTAAAAATTAGTAGGAAATATGAAAATTATCAGTAAAATCGACGTTTTCCGACACATTGTTGAATCAGCCCGTTGGCTTCCAAAAGGCGAACTGGAATTGTATCGCCGATATGTAGATCACCCAGATCTCCCTTTGATTTCGTACTGTTCGCTCTCTTCCGCTTCGTCTGAGAACAAACGGTTGGCCATTCGTTGTCGCAATAATTTCACAGATGATGATGGAGCCGGATGTTCTTCTGTGTCTGAGACATCATAATATGGGCTACTTATTTCGGCAGTATTGGCTTTGTTTTTTGCTGTGGCTGTCGGTGGTTCAAGGTTATCCAATTCGTCATCCCATATGTTCTCATTGGATGATTCCCATGTTGGTTTTTCATTCGTTTCCTTTGACTTTGCAGATGCGGTTGTTGCCATGGGGTTTGGTTGTGGTAATGGTTGAGACTGTTGCTGTGGTTGCAGCTGTGCCTGTACCAATGGCTGAGAATTGAAAAAAATTTGTTACTCTTTTTGAATCTCGATTGCTTTCTAAATTGTGATCCATTTGGTGACCGATTCTTCGCTTGAATTTAGTTTATTTTTTCAAGCTAGGATTTCATTAATGATTTGTTATTTATCGCTCGATGGTGATGAATCGCTCGATTGATTTGAGTTTGCATTGATCTTTCTACCTTGACTGCGTGTGTCGCATGCACCCGTCAAATCACAGTATGACACCAACAGAAATCGCTATATAAAAATATGACGTAGAATTTAGTGCCATCTCACGACGTGTACCGTTACTATATGAACGTATTATCGTAAACGCAAATTGTGTCCCATCCATTATGTGATTAAATGAGGTCATTGTACAATGTATCGATTTGCTTCTTGTATTTCTCCTGCCGAACATGGAGCCAGAACTTCAAGCGGCTGTTGGCGTCCGGAAAGCGAACTGAAATTTTATCGCCGATATGTAATAGATCACCCAGAACTCCCTTTGATTTCGTACTTTTCGATCTCTTCCTCTTTGTCTGAGAACGAAGGGTTGGCCATTCGTTGTCGCAATAATTTCACAGATGATGGTGGAGCCGGATGTTCTGTGTCTGAGACACCATAATATATGCTGCTATCGTCTGTACTGGTTTTGTTCTTTGCTGTGGCTTTCGGTGTTTCAAGGTTATCCAATTCGTCATCCCATAGGTTCTCGTTGGATGAATCCCATGTTAGTTTTTCATTCGTTTCCTTTGTGTTTGCAGGCGCCGTCGAATTTTTCGCTTGACTTTTGCTTTTAATTTTTTCCAGCTTCATAGACGACTTTTAATCGCTAGATGGCGATGAATCGCTCGATTGATTTGAGTGTACGTTCTGTTCACTCTTACCGTGGTGAATGTTTCGGTTTCTTGTTATTGTTTTCTTCTTTCTTCAGCTTCAGAATGTGTTCCGACTTTCCGTTGGCAATTGGGTACCGAATCTGTTGCATGTCGCCATATTCAATTTGGATATTCTCATTCAATTCTTCTTCCGAAAAGGTGAACAATATATGATGGCCAAATTCTGCAGAAGGAATTTTTTTTCAAGCTACGACTTCATAGACGACTATATATCGCTCGATGGTGATAAATCGTTCGGTTGATTTGAGTTCTGTCTGGACCGCGTTTGCCGCGTTCACCCGTCAAATGTGTCCGCAACAGAAAACGTTCTTGACTCTGTTGTAGCCGTTTTTGGATGTTTTTTTGTAAAAAAATCGGTTATGTTATTGCATATTTAATAAATATTACTCATTCTCTAGATCAAATATCGTTTGTCGGTATAAAATCGGTTGTCAGCAATAGTTCATTGGAACGATAAAATTTAAGGTCATCGTATTTTAACTTGTATTCATACTTATTCTCTATCTCTGGAGCACAATAACAGCAACGGAGAAAATCAAACTGTTGAGAATGTGACGATAAGCCGTTGTTTATGTTTGCGAATGGTTTGTTTTGTACCAAATGCGGCATCGTCGGTGAGCGGTGTCGTGTCGTCGGTGCTTGATGTGCCCGTGATGTTGTTGCTTGTTGCGAAGCGTTTGCACTGTTATAGTTGCTCGCACTGTTAACGAAAGTCGAACAACAAAATGGTTTGCATTTACATTTTTTGCATTAGACTGAAACATCAAATTTCCTGTGTGCTAAACAATGCCCGATTCTTATTTTTCACATTAATCCTAATTTTAAACAAGCCTCTGTCATATTGTGTGAGCAATGCCCGCTTGACATTGTCAATGTGATCAGCTGTTACTAAAAACCTTGTCGTTCATTTGATTTTATTTCTCAACACAACACCAACTCACTAATGTGTTCGAAATAATATAACTAAATATATAATTTCATACGCGGAATTGTACTCAATGCTTGGATCCAGGCATCGTCACAATGCTTCCGCATACATCCATGCATGTCTGTGAAAGATAAAAATGTCCCCACTAAAAGACAAAAATCGTAGATCCAGGCATCTGAAGTAATTGTGTAAGTAATAATCTAAAGTAGATTTTGACAAGCGTGTAGTTGAATCGGCGCCACAGAGAAATAACTACGTGTTGCACAGCACTGCAATAGGGTACATATCTCTTGCATGTTGCCATATTCGATTCGGATGTTCTCCTTTAATTATTCTTCCGAAAGCAATGAATGATAGCCGAATTCATCAAAAGGAATTTTTCGTGATTCCATTCCTTCGTATGCTTTGTTGAATGTATCGGCAACAATGCCGTTTAGATATAGATTAATTAGCGAAATAATCACCCGCTAAAAATCGCTTGAATCGGCAATTTTGTGTCTTTGAGTTTTGCCCCTTTTTTCTTGATTTTTTCTTTTTTTATCTAATTTTGTTCCAAAAAATCGATTTTTGTTCCATTTTTTATGTACTTTGTTGTTATTGCGAACTCTTTCATTTAATTTTCACACTCGCTTTACACTATAATCGCAGTTTGACAGACATAAGCGTCCGATGCAGCGCAATGTCGTGGCTGCACAGTAAGGTTATGTCATAAGTTTGAAAACGCAGTTACGATTTGAAAGATTTTTTCCTTCTTTTTGGTGTTATTGGCATTTTCTGTACAGTTTTCCTTTTTCCCGGAAAAAATTTCCGCATATTGGATGCAAAATTTATTGCATGTCGTCATATTCAATTCGGATGTTCTCATTCAATTCTTCTTCCAAAGAGAAGAGCAATCAATGATAACCAAATTCTGCAAAAAGGATTTTTCGTGATTCCATTCCTTCGTATGCTTTGTTGAATGTGTCGGCAGTAATGTCGTTTGGCTGGACAGATTCATGAGCGAATTATTCACGCACGTTATATCGCTTAAATCGGCCATTTTGTGTCTTTGTCTTTATTTTTCACTTCTTTTCTTGAATATTTTACCTGATTTTATTCCGAATATATCGAAGATTTAATGTTTTTATGAATATTCCGCTGGCAATTGGGTACAGAATTTGTTACATATTCAATTCTGATGTTCTCGTTATTAGCGTTGAATATGTTCACTGTTTGCCATTGTGACGATGTTGACTGTGTTATACCCTGTGTTGCCATTGCTTGGTCATGCTTGCGAACTAAATAAACCGAATGTCGAATGGGCGATTTGCTATTGGCATTTGCTTTTTTCTCTTCTTTTTTTGTGTATTTGCGACATTGTAGTATGACATGTCACTGTTGACTATGTGCGAGTGTTCTCTCACTTGTTTCTTCTCAAATTTTTCCGGTGTTTTGAACTTTCATTGCACAGTGGAGTGTGTTTCTCCGCACAGAGTTTATATGTGTTGAAAAAAAATCTAACCTATCTTTCTTTCATTTTCAGGTTATACACGTCATTCAATAACCGATACTGGCGATCAGTGTATTTTAGTCGAGTTGGGAACCATCAGTATAATCAATCACATCAAAATGCTACTGTGGGACAAAGACATTCGGTCTTATTCGTACTATATTGAAACGTCGGTGAATCAAACCAATTGGGAGCGCGTCATTGATCACACCAAATATATGTGTCGTTCGTGGCAATTTTTGTATTTTCCATCACGAGCCGTTCGTTACATCAAATTAGTTGGCACACACAACACATGCAACAAAGTCTTTCACGTTGTGGCGCTCGAGGCATATTACACAATGAAGATACCAACAATAGTCAATGGCCTGGTTTTGCCCACGTATAATGTGGCCACAGTCGATATGAGTGCTATGGTTATCGAAGGTGTGAGTCGAACACGAAACGCTCTACTTAATGGCGATGTGAAGAACTACGACTGGGACTCTGGTTACACATGCCATCAGTTAGGTAAGCAATCGAATTAAATAAAACAACTGCTAGAATTTAATTGAAATCTTGAGTAAAAATGTAAACAAAAATCGGTTCCATTTATCAACAGGCAGCGGAGTCATAGTCATTCAACTTGGTCAACCCTACTACATTGGCTCATTGCGTCTGTTGCTTTGGGATTGTGATATGCGAACATACAGTTTCTACATTGAAACATCTGTGAACCAAAAAGAGTGGGAGATGGCGGTCGATAAACAGCACGAGCAGCTCCGATCTTGGCAGCAATTCACTTTTGAACCTCGACCCGTTGTGTTTATCAAAATCGTCGGCACATATAATACAGCCAATGAGGTTTGTATTGAAACGTCAAATTGTTAATTTGCCATTCATTTCATTTGTTTTTTTCATATCTTTTTTTACTTTCATTTGATTTCTTCTCAATTAATTGATCTTTTTCCACTATTTCGTGCAGATTTTCCATTGCGTACACTTTGAGTGTCCGTCACAAGATTTGCCAAAGCAACAAATCGAAGCACAGGCCGCTACAATTTCAGGACACTTTCCGTCGACAAGCAAAAAAGTCACTCCAGCTTCCACATCGCCCGAGCTTTCGTTCATACAAAACATTGAATTGGATTGCGAATAAAATCACCAAAAGATTTGAAATGTAATCCGTCGAATGGTTTCTATTCAAACAATCGATCAATACACAACGTGCTGTACTCCAGTTACGAGTAACCGCACCCTCACCTCCATCAATCCCAAAACAAAATCCCTAATCAAGTATTGTTTATTTAAAATACTAAAAAGTATTACATGACATAGACATAGAGAAATTCAAAAATATTTTCAGTTAAAAAAAAATCCAATGTTTAATTCAAAAGTCATATAATAACAAGAAGCAATCGAAAAATATTGTATAATCAATGAAATTAGTCGTAAGTTAAAGTTTGTCACTTATTTATTGAGGGCCAAAGGCAATAGATTATAACACATCGGTGAAAAAAATAAACAATTTTAGTGTTTGAATATATACAAATTGGCTACTTTGAAAGAAAATCTTCTATGCAAAATAAATATTGACGCTTTTTGATTAAAATTCGCTTCAATTTGTTGGTTCAATCATTTTTTCATTTGTTTAGCTATTGGTTTTCTTGATTTGTTTCCTTGATTGAATAAGTGTTGAGCTACACTTATCATCTCCATTTTAAGACAACGAAACAATGACACAATTCCGGTTGATGAACCGTGGCTGCTTGCATGGAAAAGGTAAAGTATATCGAATCGACTATTTTGAGGCAAGGTAAAAGTGAGAGTTTCTCTTTCTCTTTCTCACTATGAGACTAGCACTCTGAAAGGTATCAAATTTGTCACAACTAAATCAAAATCCCGTTAAAATAAGACGTTTCAAATTCAAAAGGGATTTAATGGGAACATGTACATAATCAGAAATGTGCAATTTATCGTGTAAAATTAATCTAATACCTGGAATCAATCAATTTAAATAATTCGAATGGTTACAATTTAGAAAATTAAATCACATTCATGGATTATTTGGATTTTGTCGCTGTCGAATCTTCTGCAGCAGATCGTCTTTCCATTTTTCATCTAAATCACCTTGAGCGTTTCGTGCCCACGTCGGAATATTTGAAGTAGGTAGTGTAAAGTTGGCCATTGCTGACATTATCTGAAAGAAAAATTCAATGAAACGAAATGAATATCGGAAAATCATGAATGAAACGTCATTTCAAAAATCACTTTAAAGGAATACCTGTTCAGTTCGTGTTGAATCAAGAACGATATTAGTTGATTCTGGTCTCGGTGCACTCCAAACTTCCCGTTCAACTTCAGCGTCTATCGATGGAACGACAATGCCTGTTTCAGGTGCTTGTGTTGGTGCATTGAACGCCTACGTAAAATAAAACCATGAAATAATTGCGAGTAATTTTTCTTTTACCTCAGATAGAACAAACCGAGTAATCGAAGTCATCATCTCCATCGTCATCATTTTCGTGTTCATTGCCTTCGTTTCGGTATTCCATTGTTTCTTCGTCCAATGATAGTGGTTGATAGCCAACATATCCAGCGTCAATAATTTCCATGTCACTATCATCACTGGCCGTGGTATTTCCGTGCATTGGTAGACTAGACGCAGCTGGTCTTGAAATATTATTTTCTTCATTTGGTAAATCAGGCGAACCCATTTTTCTTTCCGATATTATTTATAGCGAAACACAGAACTTCACTTTGGTGTATGCTTTGTTTTCACTGCTGTTCTGACAAGTGTCAGTTTTGACACATGCATAGAATGAACTGAGTGAACTTCAATGAACATGGAGACTCGAGCGAAGCACACAATCATCGGTTTTGACAGCGGATAAATAACCTTATACAAGAATCGCGAAAGGTTTTTTCAAACCTTTCAAATGTCCCCTCAACGAGAACGGATTCAACTTTCTGGGCAAGAAATGGGTTTTAATGATTTTTTCGCAACATACTCGTCCATTTTTGACTCGTGACAACATTAAACCGAATCACATTCAAAAAGTAAAATGATCAAAGTAATACATTGAAGGCACAAAGTATAAAGATTTAGCGGTGAGTGCATGCGGTTTATCTATTTTACATAATTGAATCACGCACATGTCATTATATTTTTTACGACTATCTATGGCACGGCAGAAAGAATCAGGGAATTTATTAAGAATTTCGTTAAATGATGCCATAAAAGCCACTGAACACTCTCTCTCTGTGTATGTGCATTTATATGACACACAGAGACGTGTCTATGGATCCATGTGTCACATCAAGATGACTTCAGCGATCAAGCAACAATATTATTTCCTTTTTTTTTTACTCAACACAACCCAAATATGTGCCACACATTATTTTTGAGATCATTGAGATTTCGTACGTGAGACCATGACATTATGAAATTAAATCGGAGCGCCCGTCAAGGATAACACATTTTTGCTTGTGCTAGTTTAAAATAACACAAGAAAACTTGTGTTAACGAATGAGAAGAAGAACGGTCGAAAAAGTGGATACGGTTTAAAAGTATCTATTAAATATTTCTAACATCTCCTATCAAGAGATTTCCGAAATTTGTTTTGTGTGTGAGTGAATATGCGTATCTGCTTTACACTCCTTTTTTATGACTTCTTTCATTGATAGGCAAAAAGTTTTTCATTCATAAAATGTGTTTAATCAAAAAATAGATGGAAAAGTACTTTAATATCGCCGAAAATAGAATCTTATACGCCGAACAATTTTAACGTCGTAAAGACACGCACAGGGGCGGAAAAGTGTGTACTACATTGAAATCAATTTGAGTAAAGAAAAAAATGAAGTACACAAAAATCGGACATGGCAAAGTTTTCGACAAATCGAATCGTAATAAAAAATGAGATCTCATTTTACAATCGGGTGTAAGTCCTCTCTACCAAGAAACTGTCTTCTGTATCGGAAAAAAATTTGTTCCAACCGTGTTTAGCAACTCCTTTCATGAGATTAGCATTCAATTCATTGCTGCGTTCCAGTGGACCGGCAACAAAAAAAAAGTGATGGCTTTTTAAACGATACCCTGAAGGAAATTACTTCATTTTTACACACGAAATACAATATCCGCTACAAATAATAACCAAATAAAAAGCTAGGGGAATTTAACTCTTACGAGTTCAGCATGTTTTTTGCCAGTTTGCTTGATTCGCGGGAGTTCGACGCGTTCCTTGTACGTACTGACGCGCACGGTCACAAGTTTACACAAGTTTGTTTATGGTTTTGCGCGTTTTTCAAGTTGTTATTTGACAATTAAAACGCGTTTCAAGCTAAAAATCGGTTGTTTACGTGTATAAAGATTTTTCACATCCTTTCCAAAAGTTCAAAGATTTATATAATTATAAAATGGACAAAGGAAATATTTTTAAAGAGCTGGAGAAAGTGTTGAAGAAAAAGTTAATCCAGATATAATAAATGGAACGACTGATGTGTGCGCGTCGTCCAGCTACAAGTTTGCACACGAACTCGCGCGCGTTCGCGCATGTTGTTTTTATACGGAACTTGTCAACTGAGTGGAATCATGCAAGTTCTCTGGTGAATGTAACAATTTCGTGCGCGTTTATATCATTTTTTTACAAGTTTTCACGTAGTTAAATCCCCCTAGATAAAAAGTCGTAAAAATGCGTACGGAAAATTCGATTTTTTCCACTCACTCAATTGAAGTGGCAACATGCTTTAAATTGCTTTCGGCATCTAGCATCTATGGTATCGCTTTCACATTCATTGAAATCGTGTAAAGTAACTGCGTGTGAAAACCGCCTTCTTTCAACCATAAAAAAAAGAGTCTCTCGGAAATGATGCAAATTTATTTCGTATCGAATTTATATTTGACCATTTAAAAGTGGTTCTTTTTTCGTTCCGTGCGCATGGAAAAAATTCCGGGAATCCAGCCATTGAAATCGATTCGGTATGGTAGCAAATAGCTACTAGTTATTCCTTACCATGGCTGTTTTTTTTCTTCCTTAGGCCACATTTTCGTGGTTTGAATTTTTCAAGTTTGAATACGGAAAAGTAATTATCTCAAAGCCAATAGAAATGTATACCGGACTTTTATGGCGATTCTCGTCGAGAAAGAAAAAATCATAAATGATTTAAACCAAGTATCGATTTTATCGATGCCGCACCGCAGAAATTCCATAGTCGCGCAAGCGAAAAGGAAATGGAACGAGGATATAGAGACTGCAATGGAATTTATAGCAAGCACCAGGTGCAAAATGCAATATTTTTTAACTGTATCTTTCGGCTGCAACATCATCCTTTTATATTGTTTGTTTCGCTCTTTTTTTCGCCCCATCGTGCACACATTCTGAGAACCAAATGCAGTGCATATTCTTGGATTTAGAGGCTGATTAAAATCGACATTTGCGCTTTTTATGACGGTGTTTTTCTATATTTTTTTCACGCGCGTATATACAAGTTGGATTTTGAGCTCGAGACAGTTTTTTACCGCATATTCCCACAGCGACGAGTCGGCTTTACCTCCCAAGCAATAAACTAGTAATTCATTTACTAGTCATAAATTTTGTGGAATTATGCTCTGGTCTGCCTGCATATAAACTTTCCGATTTTAGAATAGCTTGCGGTTGCATAGAGATTTGTGAGGGTTCCCTTTGTTTCGAACAAAAGAGAGAAAATACGCTTTCAAATACTCGCTCAATGTGCCGCTCAAACCGGCGTCTATTTCCGGCATAAATTACGTTTTCAGTAAAAACTCCATTTCATTCTCGATAGAGTTCGTTTAATTGAATGCTAATTTTTTTTGATTTTTTGAAAATTCAATTTAGTCACAGTTGCATCTTCCGGATTTAAGAATTATAGTTCTGCGGCTACGGATATTTTACGGTGTCCAAGCTTTTGCTTTCAAATGTTTGCGATCGAATTAATACCAGCTTCTATTCTTTGTTTGTTTTTTCTCATCAGCCACTTCTTGAATTTCGGCGACTTTTGTTTTACGTTCGAGAGGTTTGAACCGTTTACTTTCGAAATTGTCATGGACTAAATAGAAAAAAAAATACAAAAAAACACACAAAAAGCCACAATTGATCGACATACATGTCTGTTTACATTTCGGTGCACTCTCATCTTCAGACATGACTGAAAGTCAACTGTTTCGGTTTGCTTACAACGACACATTCAAGGAAAAAACAAACATCACCGATTTCATTGAACCCTATCTTTTTCAAGGTCATTTTGTTGAGTTTGACTTACATGTACATACAATCTTTTCACAACATTCGTTTGTTTCACAAATTTTCAGTGTTGCTGGTCGCTTAAACGTTCATATTCCAGTGAATGTGTACATCCAAACCACATTCTTGTCTTGTATTGGTACAGTATATGTGTTCACTGTGTGGTTTTCCATCCAAAGAGTTTCGTTTGACCGAATTTTTACAGTCACAGCACCAAATATATAAAACTAGACATTGGTTTTGGGTTGGATTTGGGAAGAATGAATTATTCTACGTAATATGAAACAAATTCTTTTAATTAATCTTGGACCGTTTGCTATATACTAATATTGAGCATTTCCATCTTGGTTGTATGACTGTCTTCGTTTTCATGTTCCTACTATTGTAATTACCGCATAATGTACGAAAAGAGCCAGGTTTTTAACGAATTCGTCATCATATGACGGCCTGAGAAGGAAAACCTTTCCTACAAAACCTGTGCGCAGAACACAAATACAGAAATTTTTTAGTCAAAAGGCGAACAGCAAATTTGCGAGCATCATGAAATATGGAAAGAAACATTTTGGTTAAAAATGAACTTTCTTCAAAAAAGAATTTTATCGTTTTCTGTACATCTATTATTCATCTACTCGATCAGCCCAAAAGTTGTTCAACCAGTCCTTTTGTATTTCCTTTCACATCGGCGTGTAATCGCTTAAAAGTGTTTATTATTATTTAATTCAAAGTGTCAAACCCAAATTCATTCCCAAGAACACAAATGATTGGTAAATTTCTGTCAAAAATAAATGAAGCGTGTAATGTGTTGTTTGTACGGATGACAGCAACAACGTTTTTAGATTAAAAACTGTCACATCGACATAATTGGTAATTTGGTGATTGGGTTTACACCATGTTAACTTTGCAAATATGTGATAAATCATTTAAAATAGTTTCGGCGTTGTTTTATTTTTCGATGTTTAAAATGGAATTCGAAATGCATGAGCACTAAATTCGAATGTTGAGGCCGCGATTACAAATATATCCCGTGTCAAACAATAGCTAGCTGCCGCCAAATTGATTATTGAGAGTGTCATATGAAGTGGGATTGACAGGTGGACACATCGCAAAACTGGCAAATAAGTGATTCAATTTGGAATGTGGTACAATGAGTTATATCAAAATAGCACGTCGCTCTTAATCACCCAAATGCTTTCTCTTCATTCGAGATGGGTTGATATTTCGATGTTGATTGATGAGTGGAAGTTTTCAGCAGAGGTGAAAAGGGACTCGTATTAAGGTAACGAACCGCATTTTCAACTTAAATTTCTATTATTGGGTGGATATTGACATTTGATATAAGCGCGCCGCGGTAAGAAACAAAAGAAAGGCCCAAGGAAAATGCCATTACATAAATTAGTAAAGTTACTTTGTCCCCAGCTATTAAAAGAAAATGCTATAATTATTTATCAATGGGAAAATTTAATCAATTAAAAAAACATGGAAAATAAGGAGCAATTTGGATTTGGAGAGTGTTTCCTGTCAAGAACAAATTAATAACGCTT